CCAGTCATTTTTCTAACTTCTTTCGAAGAAAAATAATTGAATTAATGTCGCGTGACTTCAGTTTTGCCTCGGAAGTTTTTATATTATGAATCGAGGTTTACTGCCTTAAAGATTTCCATATCTGTTCTTGAATTTCATTTATCTGATGCCGTTGTCAAGAATAAAGAGAGATAGAAACAGTGGAAATTTATAGGTCTACAATTTTTTCAAATTGCAGCCCAGTAAACACACTTTCCAACTAATTTATTTCGCTCGATAACGACTATGACGTTAATGTTCGAATAAAATAATTTGTTCATGTATAAAAATACAAATATAAGAGATGTATACATATATAAAAATAAAAGTAAAAAAGAACAGCTGCGCTCCGTGAAAATGCATCCAAGAATGACAATGTATATCAAGCACTATTTATTTTATACTTTCAGCTTGCACAAGGTCAGCGTTATATACAGACACTAAAAAGTTAAACAAAATGAATCAAAAATACATTTTTTGTTTCATGAATATAATGATTTAATAAATGCAACGAAAGTGTGAACATTTCTTTCAGTTTCATTTTAGAATTATGTGTACAAAAATACCGAAATTTTGTATTAGTTAATAACAAAAATAATCTGTATTCGTTAATAATTAGATAATAAACAACTTTATTGACCTTAGCAATAAAATATTTTAAAGTGGCTTATAATATGCTATTACTCAAAGCAGTACATTATGACAGAAAGTATAGTATCTGTTGTCCAGTTTACCCTATATACGTTCTATTGGATTTCGTATTTAAAGATAGTCTGAGAAATAAAATAAATTTTTGTCTTAGTAAAGACAGAGAAACACACGTCAATTGTATATCTATAATAATTATTTAAAAAAAAAGACTGCAATGACCATGAGATCATTTTAGTAAGAGTGTACAAAATTATGTAAGAATTTATTTTGTAAGAAAGTTAACTTAGGAATGCTAGAAAATCTATGGTTTAGGTTTCATTTCGATTTATTACAACGTCGTTTAGAAAAAGCAAAAGCACTGCTGTTTCGAACAAAATGCCAAATATTAAAATACTTATAAGAGTAACAATTTATGAGTACGTCTCAAAAGCATTTAACGTAAAACTATTTACGGTTCTCTTGGTTTAAATTGAAGTTGCAGTGATCGACTAGGATTAAGACTAATTCTGAACTTGACTGAGGTCGTTTTTTCCAAATATCCTACCTTCAACTTTCTTAAGATACTCGCCAGAATCAGTTTAATTTTCATCATGGCCAAGTAATATCCTAAAAGAAATAACTGGAAATGTTAATTAAACTTGAGATGTAATAAATTTAGCTTCTATTTTTCTAAAGTTCCTCACCCGGACACATCCTGGGACTTGTCGAAAATGGGATGTAGGAGTAAGGTGAGCGTTTAGAAGAATTTTCGGGAAGAAATCTGTCAGGATCGAAAACATTAGGATTTTCGAAGACATTTGGATTGCGATGAAGATGGAAAATAGAAACAACGAATATCCAGTCGTTGGAATATTCTTTATCTCCTGAAAGAATGAGATTTAAATATTTCATATTCTATACAGTAAAATCTAATAATGCTAAATTTTGCGTTTATAGTTCCTAAATCTAGAATGAATCTATTGTTTTCTAAGTCTTAAATTTTGTGAAATTTTCAATTACGAATGCCAATGCCTTATTACTACTTTATTATGGATATTTTATCACAGGATGGAAGAAAAGTCTGTTAAACGAAAATGCGTGTTTAATTATTAATTAAAATACATTATTAGCGAGGACCGAACGTTTACATCTGCTCGGTGTACCTCTTGTAAACATTAGTGCCTTCTTTGTGATGTTTGGAATTCTGGCACTGTCGAAAGTAACATTGCCTTTAGAAAGGTAATGAATATACTAGTAGGCTATGTATTGTTACTTCCGAATGTCCTACGTTTTCAATTTCAAAATTGCATTTAAATTTTCAAATTTGAAGAATACGCAAAAACAAAAGTTAAACACATTCAACATTTGGAAACAAATCACACAGATAATGAAAAGATAACAGGCAAACAAACACTACTCGAATACACCAAAAATAATCAGGTAAGAAGAAATACAGAGTGCATAAAAATTTTTGTCTTCAATACACAAATTTACTCACCCGTTTCTAATATTTTTATATTTATTTAACTACTATTGGTTGTTATTAAAACACTGTAATATAATATCTCACGTGTATCGTGTTTCTCGCTCATATGGTGGTGAGTTAACAAAGTTTCCGTATGGACAGAAATTTAGAAAAGAAACATACTTTATTATCGAGAAATTTTCTTCCTTACCCAATTTTATAGATTTTTTGATTTTCCTAGAAATTGCGGGAATAGATGGGTAAAGCCTCATGGTTTCCTACAAAAAGATAATGCGAATTTTTATCCAATAATATTAAAATACACATTTCTCAGATGAAGTTAAATTAATCAAAATTATAATTTAAAAATTATACGATTATAATAATTATTCGTAAAATAGGTTAGAGGTTTGGAAGACATTCAATAACAGTAACGAAAATAAAAGAAATCTGTAATTAGTTATAAAGAATAAATATTTCACAACTTTCTTAACATACTTTTACTTTCTCTACGTTTTTCAAAGTATTATATTCCTATCAAAATTTGCCCGCCGACTGGTTTTGCCGCCGACACGATCCTAAATATAAACACCACGATGAAAATTTCGTAAAATATATGTGTGTGTTTTGGAATTTATTTAGTTTAATATCTCTGGATAGGCTGAAAATTAAGAAAAGAAATTTGGATAGTAGCTTTAATTTAACGGGAATTAAAACTATGCAATTTTCGTGGTTAATTAAAGGTCGAAGGAGTGAGGAAATAAAAGAGAGTCATCTGTCGTATTTTCGTGGTCGGATTTTAAGAACGGTTTACTCGTTATTGTCATTTACAATTTTTCTCTTATATATAACTCACCACTACTTTCAAAATTTTTATTTTGCCTGTCTGTAATATTTAAAAATATTATAATTAACATAGAAAATTCTCATAACAGATGGCACCAAATACAATGTAATTTATTAAAAAAGTACTTCTGGTATTGCAGTTGGTTCTTTTAATATTTTTCTACTATAAAAAATGAGATCGAATTCAACAAAAACTCTATCAAATAGAAAAAAAGTCAATTTTTTAATTTGCATTAAATTAATTATGTGTTTACATTAATTAAATATTTCAACTAATTATTCTTAATAATGAAAATATCGAAACTGTATTCGTATTTGCCAAGTACAATTAGCCTATAATGAAATACCTAATTATTTTTTATCATCCCAGTTCGTGATCAGAACTGGTCAGATGTTGGGTGGAATGTGGAATACAGTGGAGCAATGTACTGTACCTACCTCTTTTAAACAAATGAAATACGTACAATGTTTTTTTTTTTTTTTTATTAGACTTAAAAATTTTGATGGAAAAAATATAGTTAATTTTTAAGAGCTAAAACAACTCTTCACCCTAAGATTTGTCCAGACAAATTTCTTAGGCTCTTTCTATTGACTGTCTTGTTAATAGCCTGTATGCTGTATGATTTAATCTTAAAATTACATCAAAGTTGTCACAGTGACAAAATGCCAGACAGATAATAATATCTACAAAATTAGTCGAATTAAAATCATATATAACGTTTGAGATTGTGTAACGTTTGCCAGTAGCCTATATAAAAATTAATTTACCAGTAAAAGTATAAAAAATATAAATGCATTATCAATCTTATAATAATCACACTTATATCATATACACGTTATCATAAATATCGCTAAAAATTGCCGACCTTTATGACACATTCCAAATACTTCATTTTGTATAAATCTTCATTCTCAATAGATCGATCGATATCATTTTCAAATATGTAGTCCAACTCTTGCTGAACTTTTTTTTGAATGTCTCCGTGTTGACTTAATAAGTATAACGTCCAGGTGACAGTTAGTGCTGTTGTTTCGTATGCCTAATATTTAAATAAAAACGTTATCAATATATTTTTTGAATTTTTATAATTAAACTTATTCGAAAAAATGTTTCTAAAATTTTCGCATATGTTGAGAATGAGCCTGTAGAAGCACAGTGCATATAATATTTATTTGTTAATTCATATTAATTCAAATGTTTTTATGTCCTTATTTTATACTGTTTGTTATATAAATGTCTACTAAAACGGATCTTATTAATAGGACTTATTCTACTGGTGTTTGGTATTGTTCGGTTTCTGCGATTGAAGATAACTTATTCAGAGAAAACAAACAATTTTTATTGTTCACTTGATAGTAAAGATTGTTTACTTTCTGTGAATAAGTTTTCCTCAATTGAAGAAACCAAATACCAGTACAATAATATTAGTAAAATCTTTTTCAGTAGGCATTTATATAACAAACAATATTTATCTGGTTTAATGATTATTCAGTATTGTTTGTATTATGCTGACTTAAATATAATAGCTTGGCATCGTAGAAAAAGGTTGACTGAAGCGCATACTCTCCACATCTTAATCTTTGGGACCCCTTTTCATTTAAATATATCAAGGATAACACCATCTTTTTTATTAAATTTATCAACATATTTTTTTAGATTAATATAAGATTAATTTATTTTGCATCACTTCAATAAACAAGAACTACGTATATTAAAATGAGTCAATACCTTAACAGCTAACTCCGAATTATACACGGCTTATCAATAATTTTACTATTGTGCTCACAGTGTGCAAAATGTAATTAACTGAAAATAAACCTACTAAGCTTGTATTCAGTTACGCATAATATAAGCGAGGGCAGGTTTCTCAATTATTTACGAAGAAATATCGTACCAGATGATTGTATTTGTGGATTCAAAATGTCAAATAAAAAGAAATATGTACTCCACTTACAGCGCCAAGAAAAAATTCGATCTCTTCGCAAATGCTCTCAATGGACAGTTCTGGATTTTTATCTCTAGCATCCAAGAGAAAGTCCAACAGAGATTTTCGATTTCCATTAATTTCGGTCGTGTTTTCTTCGTCTTCACGTCGTCGAATTTTTTCAGCAATTATCTAGAAACAGAATTGAAGTTTAAGAAAAATTTTTGTGTGTAATTATTCTTCGAGAGCGAGAATTTTTTACGAACCTTTTTTGTTAATTTCCTTAAAGTTTCCTTGTTTGATCTAAATTCTCTCCCTTTTGGTGTTAAATAAAAGAAGCAGTCGAACGACATCAGAAAATTAATTGATCTATCAGGTACTGGCTTAAATGTTCTATAAAATAAATAATTCATGAAACGTGGCATGTTCAAATGTAAAATTCTAATATAAAATGTTCAAATATTTTGATATTGCGATAATATAATATAAATATTTATTCTTCTGAAATTCTCAAAAATTGATGTGGTGTAATCTAAAAAAAAATTTAGATATATAAATTTGAACTGTTCTCCGTTTGCCTGTCTGTTTTTTCTTAATTTCGAAAAAGAGATAGGTAGATAATAGCTGACACAAGGTAGAAACCTCTTGGAAAACAAAATGCCCCAATTAACTAAATATGAACTACAGATGCTAACCGGAAGTCATGTTGTTTTAATTCAAATATTTTCTTCTGAAAGGTGTTTGATAAATATCCGGAACAATTACATTGCTAACGAAAAAAGTATGGGGTACAGGGGCAAACCACCACCAGTTTGGGTAAAGACCATATATTTTTAACTAAATAAATTAAAAATATGATTAAAAATTCCAGGCCGGAATTGTAACGTAACAATAAATAATTTTTGGAAACGTATAAATTTTTACTAACGTTTTTCTGATGTGTCTTTTCTTCCTTAATACGGAGAAAAATGTTAGATAGATGAATAAAGAGACTAAATTTTAAAGTATATGAGCAAGACGTCTGAATTAACTATATAGAATTATCTAGTTAGCTACGAATGTCTCAATTCACACATTTTTCCTTAAACGGAGATAGATATATGGCACCATTTTATTTTTAACAGGAATAGTAAGATTTACAAGTTCAAGACACTACCAAAATTTAAGACTATTGTAACCCGGCACTGTGATAATTTTGAATTGAAAAAACAAGCGAATCTAGATAATATAAGGATTTGAAATCGTATCTTTCTCACGATATGCGTAAATCTCTCAATAAGAAAACAATTCTGAGCATCATATCAAGTGTACCTAAGTTGTTGATAGAAAAAAATAATCTCAGGTTCGTGATACAAGTCACATCAGATGCATAACGTGTAAAAGAAAAACCATTGTGTTCATTTAAAAATTCAAACTCGTTCTCTTCGTACGTATATCTATTGAACCGATCTATTAAACCGACATTGTCCCACCAGTGTCCAAAATGTTTAGTTCTCTGAAAACCAAGATTTTGGTCGTGTGTTTGCACCATGCCGGGACAGACTGGCATTTCACATAGACGTGAAAAGTGATTGAATGAAACAGGAGAATTCGAACATCCTGAATGCGTCGTTAACTTCACTGAATAGACAGATTTGAAAGTATTCATACTATTGAGGTTTTTCTTATGCATAGCTATGTTATGACAAGGTGTAGTTGTCATTACAAGTAGAAAGGGAAAGATGGCTAGGCTTATATAAATAAATTCCAACAAAGGATTTAATGAACTGAATGCATTACTATTTTCAGGAAAGATGACTTGCATAAACGGTTTCATAATATGTCTTCATATACGTAGTTAAAATACAATTGCTTAGCAGAGTTATGTTGCAAAAAGTAGAAATCAAATAAGAGAAATTCGAGTCAGTTACTTTATGCAATGGTGTAAGGAACCAAGTCCGAACGTTATTTTTATTTACTTTTATTTTGCTTATTATTCTATTTTTGTTTGGGGCTTATGTTTTGTTAGGACGAAGTTTCCTCACCATTCACCTTAGTAACTTAAAAATAGAAGAAAAACCAACTCACCGACGAAAGAAAAGCGCCGTAGAAAAACTCGCGCACACTTGCGCTTCCCAAGCGGAAAAAAGTAAGTCCGCACCGAGAAAAAGGGGGGGAAGACCCCACAACCCAGTTAGGAATCGCTAAACCTTAAAAGAATAAAGCATCCCGATAATTGTTAAAAAGAATAATGTAAAAGGTTAGCGAAGTATTGTCGGAAAATAATCTGCCAGATAAACAAGAAAAATTTAATGTTACAGATAAGTATGTAAATGAGGAGAGTGAGCTCATTCAGAATTGTGACGTCACCTCACACTATAAAGCCTCTAACTCAAGTGAAAACGAACGAGGTGAATTCCTGATAGCAACGAGCTTTGGTGAGCTTCGTAGCAGTGAACGAGAGAGGTGTCCGATAGGATTTTGAAGTTATTCGATTTGTGGATCGACGATTATAGAAAGTCTTGAGAGTTTGAGGAAATAGGTTCCTAGTATATTGAGGTGACGATTAGGATCTTTAATTTATAAGAATTATTGTTTATAAGTTAATTCTTTGATTTTGTCGAATTCCAAAGGGGAATAGAATTAAGTTAGAAATAGATTGATTTGAGTTTGTCGGATTGATTCTTGTTGAATTTCATTGAATAAATTATTGTTTGATTTTTACTAAATACTGTATAGAGTTTATTAATAGAAGTTTAATTAAATATTTGATTTTGTTATTGACAAACTTTGTCATTATTTAATTCGGTGCACGCTTAAAGTCCAGGCCTGGCACACTAACGCGAATCCGCGTAAAGTACCCGTTAGGGAACGGCTATTTCCGGCACACAGTAGTGTCGATAATCGTTGGAAAGTCGGAAAAATAATATAGTACTTTACAATAGAATCTATTTTATGAAAGTGAAAGAAGAAACAACAGATCGAAAATAGCTTATTTAAAATTTGCATTTTCTCCTGGTTTCAACATCTGAAAGTAAATACTTACGCGTTTATTAATTTCTCATAGTAAGAAGTTGTTTCTCTGAAAGTAGAATTCTCTTTAACTCCAAGAATTGTATCTGAAATAAATTTTATATATTAATAATATAAACAATATAACGAACATTAAACTATTATGTAACAAATTTTTAAATTTACAATTTAATTTTTATTTATTTTCTAATAATTATAAAATTTGACATTTTTAATAACTTTTATTGTCAATAATTTATATCAAGAATTTATCATAAATCTTAATAAATAAAATACAGTATAAATTAATCAGATTAAACATAAAATGCATTCTGCATACCATACAAAATATTAAATCCGCACAGTTTAACCACACGTACTACGAAAACTTTCTCGTTTTCCATCAACACCTCAACTAATTTTCTGGCATTCTTCTCGATTATCGGAATAAATGAATGCAATACTTTTGGGCGAAAGGCGGGCAACAATAGTTTTTTTCTTTCCTTATAACCTTCGTCACTTCTGAAAAATATTTCTGGATTATTATACATTTTTTTCCGGGTTGTTTACTCGGAATTTTCATTCCAATTGCGAGTTTATATATGATGTTAAGTAGATTAATTGCAAATTAAATAAATATAAATTAAGAAAACTTCATAATTAATAAAATAAAATGCCAAATGTCAGTAGTCTTAGGCACGATATTGAGAACTAACCTTTTAGCATCAATATAGTTTATACATTAGATATACAGGAATATATTGTATGCTGCATAGTTATATTCATTTGTATCGCGCTGAATCAGGGCACACGCGAGTGAATTCTAATGACTGACTTACAGATGATCTAGCTTCCGTGGTTACGTTTTTTAATTTCTAAATTGTGCTTTATATTTTTTAGGGTCTATGTAATTCTGTTCGCTATAAACTGTAATTCATTGACCGTAAACACATATTAAAATATAGGATTTTAGCAACACTGGTTAGTATCGTAACGCCATGTTGTGTTCTTTGTATTTCCATTCAACTGCAAATTACTTGATATTGAGTGATTAAAACTTATTAACTAGATTAAATTCATCAAACAAGATTTGTGCGGCGATTTAAGCTTGGATTCGCCATTGGCCAGTAGACTGTCTCTAATTCGAAGAATGAGCTCACTGTTCCCTCCCTCAGGCAATAAATAACCTAGCGAAACTCTACCTTTCTATAATAAGTCTATGGGAGATCTTCTTGACGTAATTTTTTTTACAGTTCTTGTTTAAACAACTATTAAGCTTTTATTCGTACTTTCTATAACGAGACATATTACAGCAAGAAGTCAGTGTTAATTGAAAAGAGTCCTATCAAGTTTCCCCAGCCAACTCCTTTGTCTTTTTAAATTCATGTCTTTCAGCTAGAACATTAACAAACGTTAAAAATTTGCATTTTTCTTCATTATGTATATCTATGTTTTGTTAATTTTCATGTTAAACAACTTTACTAAAACTAGAAAGTGTCTTATGAAGAATGTCCAGCAATAAATTTTTATACGAAACACATTACTTCCGGATAATTACGTAATCGCAAAGGGAATTAATTATTCGCTTACTATAGTCAATTATAGTAATATAGCAGGTAGGTCCGGCGTTGCTTGGGCAAAAGTAACGATAGTGAAGATTAATATTATTACGTTACAGTCAACCTTACCCGTTTTCACAGAATGCAAGAATTGGGTCCTCCTGTTTCCGGATTAATTAGAGAATTTTTACATGGTTCAAAAAACATTTTCGATTTTCCGGAAAAAACTGCATCGGCATCTTGCACGTTGTTTAATCAATTTTAAAGTAGGTGAATATGACCGACACGTATATTTTTAAAAAATTAAGATTTTAATTGCGAATTCCGACCCCCCTAATTAATTAAATTAATATATAAAAAATCGATTAATTAAAAAAATTAAAAAACTATCGGAGGTCGTTTTTGACATCAGAAAGCAGCTTTAAATAACTTTACCGAAGGAAAATCTACGCGTTACAATTTAGGAACCATGAAATAAATTTGATAAAAAATTCCCATTAAAACACAATTAAGCCTTAATCGAGCGTCATCAAAGGTAATTAAAATCGCGATAAAATTTTTTCGCGCGGACAGAAAATTTTGAAATTGTCAAAAGTGACCTTAACTACCAAATTTTACGTAACGCTATGTAACCTTGACAAGTAATTCCATTGTAACGTAACACTTTCATTGTTACGTGACACTTCCATTGTTAACACTTCCATTGTTATTTAACACTTCCATTGTTGTTAACACTTCCATTGTAGATGAAAGTGTTAAGACTTAACGCTGTTCCTCTTCCCCCTGGAGAGGAATTTCGAAAAATCCCTTCTTATTTTGCTTTCACGTAACGTCCCCTAACTGTGTACCAAATTTCAACTTCCAACTCCTAACCGTTCGGGCTCTGCACTTATTATTATTATTATTATCACCAACCCGTCTCGATTATATATATAGATTCGTTCATATAAAAATGAGTTAATTAATATTTTAAAAGTGATCTAATTTCAATAGATTTTGATAGCTCCGCACGTATCCTAAACACATCTTATGACTTGTGTGAGTAAAAAAATTTCATAAAATTGCTAAATAATTTATTTTATGTAATAATAAAGTCTTAATCTTAGGCAACAGATTGTAATAACTAGGTGAGAGGTACGTTTTCCGTACCTCTCACCTAGTTATTACACTCTAGGTGAATAACTAGGTGAATATTGCCTCTATACGAAAATTATTAGGCTGCAATTTGAAAAAAATTGTATATCTATAAATTTCCATATCGCCTGACTGTCTCTGTCTTTCATAATTATCAATAATTTCGACAAAAGAATTAGACATAAGTTGGCACATGGAAATATCAGAGTTAAGACACAGTTTAACTATATACCAACTTTTAATTTGTACTTGGAGTCATTTTATTTCAATTCAAATGTTTTCTCACAAAGTTACATACATAACTAGCAGCACTGTATTGATAATAGGAATAGAATGCAGTACAAAGGCGAAACACTACTATACTCCATGTTGGCAAGTGCTATGTGCTACCGTCACAGTAACGACACAATAGTGCATTGATTTTTCGCTGTATTATTGTCCCAATAATTCAATAAATGTAATATATATTTTTTTGAATAAATTTTTAAATAATTATATTAAGTTAATTATTTCGTTAAATATTTTTCCGATACATTGCTCTACATTAAAGCCCGCATGTACATGTAAAGCAGTTAGAAGCACCAAAATGAATCAATATATAAAAATTCCTTCGATAATTTGGGGTGACAGTTCGACATTACGACATAAGTTAGAATTATATGAACGTAACTGCCGAGTTTTACCGAGATCCTTCCCTTACATTCGTGGCTTCTTTGAACAAATATTGAATAAATAACCAGATAAATAAAACACTACTGAAGTCGTTTATAAAATACTTTGCACATGTGAACCACCAAAAGCACACGTTGATGAAACAAAGCGAAGATTACAAACAAGATTACAACACATCGCGGATTTGAAATATAATAGAATTAACTCTGTTTTTATAAACATTGACAACTCATAACTGCAAAATAGATAAGAAAGACGTTACAATAGTACACAGAGAAAAAAATTGGTATAAAAGAAAATTTAAGGAATGCTATGAAATTACTACAGACAAAAATATTATTAACAAGAATCTAAGCATAGAAATTCATAGAAACTGGCTACAACTATTAAAATAGAATGTTTATACACTTGCAGTTGGGGCTGTGTGTGCCACTCTGAGAGTGAGATGTTTCACGTTGAGAGGATGCAGGGGAGGCTGTCATGTCAGAAGGGAAGGGAAGGGGCCTTAATGCCTGACAGATATTCAAAAGATACAACCTATGTAACAGACTGAAGAGGGGCGAAAGCCCAAAACACGTACCTGTATGGATTAAATTTTAATAATCAAATTATTTGTCAAGTGTCAATAAATTTACCAAGTCATGACATTAAACCGAACGAAACAATTTAAACTATTTGGAGGAATTTTGGCAAGATTATTTTTAATTAATTAATATCCTAAAAAATATTGAGTTGGTCACTACCAAAACATTCCAAGCAATTACTTGTGTATTAGCCAAATAATTTTCAGTAATGTAAGGGCCCATCAGTGACTAAGCGGTCTTTGTCCCTCAACACTCAAGATTTCCCGGAAAACATTATTTCCCTGCTTCATCTAACAATCAGGCATGTATTTCGGAAAAAAGCCAACAAGGCCAGAGTCTCCAAATGAACATGAATAAAGACTTGAATCATGCAAAAAATACCGTAGTTTAAGAGGAAATAAGCGAGAAAAATCCATTTTTCACTCATTCCCCGGTTGAAAAATAAATAGCGATGACTTTTTAAATAAATTAAAAATAGTGTGATCGGTTTTAAAATTCATTGTGGAAGTGTTAGCTAAAAATAACAGAAAGGGAATACTTGAGGTTAAATTCGAATACGTAAAAAATTAAAAAAAAAAACTTCTTGAGAAAAAAATTTACAAGTAAAATTATTTATTGAAATGCATTTTTATGTTATAAACATTAGCAGATACTTTTTATAGTAATGTAAAGAAGTGCACATAATATGAAATAACCCTACAATATTAGTCTGATGGCCGAGCAATCACGGTTGCAGCCTAATGCTCTGGGGAACCTGAGATTGGATCTAGACAGGTAAAACAATTTTCAAAAATTTTTCAGGGTGTGGTCCGTTTGTATATGTTAGGCTCTGTTCCTCACCACCCAGCTGCCTCACTGTGGGTCTGGCAGAACCTATAATGGGCTTGCAAAAATAAACCCTCTTAGTGCCCACAGGTCAGAAAGAGTTAAAAGGGTAAAAACCCTATAATATTTAAACTGTTAACTAAACTTTTTTCAGATACTTTGAAACTTCTACACACTTATTTATTATATCATAATTTTATAAGAATCGTAAAATACAAAATATTACGTGAAAGAATGCAAATAAATTTATACTAATGATTACCTCATTAAAACGGAGTCTCCAATCCAATCTTTAAATCCGTTGTACAGGATGGATTTGTTAATGCATTGAGAATCACTTAGCAGTGTCTAGAAAATAAATAAATAAGTGTGAATTTTAATCAGTAAATAATAAAATTAATAAAATCACGTATAGAAATACAAAACTAACTACACTGCTGAAAAATATCATATCTAATGATTGAAAGGTCATTTTTAAAACACTGAAAATTTAATGGTTCAGATTTTTTTACATGAAAAATATTTGTCATATAGAATTATCGTGGAAAAAATGTTGAATTTTGGACTGTTTAACACATATTTGCTGATGCAGAGAGTAAACTCAAATTCTCTCATTTGATTATTATGCATGTTAAAGACTTTGAAAGCAAGAAAACTTGCTGTATTTGAGAACAGAATGTTTGAAAAACATTCGGATTTCTCTCAATTTTGAAAAGTAATACCCGTGCTCTTACATTTGGCTTCTATTCCCCAGAAACGTCTTATATCCTGATTTTTTCTTCTTGGTATCTATTCTGTTTTCTGTGGGAAACACGGCGTAAGTTTTCTTGCACCAGAGCTTCGGATTTAAACTTGGCAAACTACATAAAATCTATGCCTCTCCAAGCATTGACCCCAGTTTTTTTCTTAGTAGGCAAGTTGGGCATCTGCTTCTTTAGTTATTTTCGCTTGTGTGAAATATGTAATTTCATTGGCTAGTATAAATAGGTGGTTACGCTTGTTACAATGAATGTTACACAAGGATAATGCCATCTGAGAGGTTTTGTAAGGGAAACTGAGCTTTATTCAGGCGTTACAGATGTGGAGAAAACCATGAAAACTTCAGGTGGCCAGCACATCTGAGCGAAGAGCGAACCCACAACTGAACGCCCAGTGTTCAAAGAACGAAACTACTTGCCCACCTGACGACAAAAACGTATTTTAAAACATGGATGTAGTAATTTTAACTCTTGAACAAAACTGAATACCTCACTGGTCTGAAAATTTTTTATTTTCCAAATTGTTGTCTGCATTCAAAATCAGGTTATTTGTTGTTATAATTATATATTTTCATTTGTTTTTACGCCATCACTTATGACATAACATGAAATATGACATCACTTTACGATTTATATATTTTTCTAGGAACTTACTTGAATATAATCCGGACGATACAAGAACAAGAATTTCGCAATTAGAACATTTAAAGAAAAATATCCTTTGTTGTACGTGTGATTCAACATCTCCGCAAACGGTATAGACGAACCTGGAAACACAAAATATTTATATAAATATTTTTATTTGTATTGATTTTGAATACAAAAACAGCATCTAAATAGGTTAGTTACTAAGTAAATTTTATTAGTTTTGAAAGAAAATTTTTTTGTCAATTTCACAGATCTAAAATATAGTTCGGTATTTTCAATACATGATTTTCAATATTGTCTGACTAACTGTAAAAAACTTTGCTTTTACGTGTTATTTAATATAATCATTATCGTCAGACTCTAACTTTCAAATTATAAGTGCGATAGTAAAGAAAATCCACTAAATAATTTTACGTTACTTGACCTCTTCACCCGTAAATCTTCAAAACTTTTCATCCGTTTCACTCTGAAAATATAGATTTCTGATATTAGCAAACTTTACAAAAGAATGACATCAAGTAATTGATGTCATTCTTTTGTAAAGTTTTAACACATATTTGCCACAAATAGCTCAGAATTTCGTTACTTATTCTCAAACTACTTGTGCCATGTTTGCGGACATTATAAAATAATTATATGCCTGTTACTGTGTGGAAGCACTACTTTGTTTACTGTGTTTAGTTTAATAATTCATGCTGTTTCTCGAAAAAATTCTAAAATTTTCCACAGAAAATTGCGTGTTAGGGGGATTGATGCTATTAAATTTTGGGTGGTTAACAGTTTACGGGATGGGAAGATAAAGAAGACCGAGTGTCATATTTTCAGTTGGGTCAGATTTAATGACGATTGTAATTGTTATTAGCATACAATTTTTGTTATAAAACTCATCACTTCTCTCAAAAAATTAATCTTTTTGCTAATTTACTCTAATAAAAAATATAAGGTCCTATAACAGAAACATCACTAATGCAATTTGATGCTGCCCAGAAAGTTAAGCAACACTACTGCATTTTTTATCTGCTAGCTTTGTTAAATTATCACGTCGTAACCTGGCGAGTTGTTTTAACAGACACTAGAATTATGTTATAACAAGCATTATTTTAGTTTTGTAATTCTATAAATAGAAAATATATATTATCTTTCGGTTTTACATAGTAAGTAGCTGAATTAAATAACTTTTTCTAAATATGTTGTATTTTTTACAACATTTTATACATTTTATAAAGTATATTATTGATATATAAGACATATATTTAGCGGAAATCTTTTTACTGTGATAAAAAAAACTACATACATGACGAAGTGTAATTTATATATAAAAACGTTATGTTAGTTTTTTTTATTTCACTACACTAAAGCTGTATTTTATCATCAGCGTGGTCACAGACTTAATTATTATATGCACCATAAAAGCTTTTAAATTTTAATTTTAAGTCATTTGTTTTATGTTTAATAAAATATCATACAATATTTAGTTCTGATCTAACCACAATTTATGTAACAAATTATTTTAACGATTAATAGTCTACATGTATTTAATCAAAAGAGAGAGAGAGAGAGAGTAGCTTTTTTGTGAACTCTTTCGTAACCAAACCATAACAAAATAATCGAGCTTGCACTTTTAGGAACAAGCGCAATTTTACAAGGGCCGGAGTGATGTGAGAATCCGAAGTTTTACAAAAATCAGTCATCGATGTCGTCATACTTGTTCGATATTTGGGTTTATGTAGTACATGAGAAAATCTCCATTTATACTTTCTTGATGGTGAAAACGACGCATTCCCCTGATTTTCTGACCCTTTGGCCAGAGCTATATCGTGCTAATATCGTAACTGATAGCCGAACAGTCAGTCATTTCCAGTTCTTTGACTGTTACTCTGTGCTTTGAACAAATTACCTTATCGACTCAAACTCGTAATATTTGTATCTGAATCAAAATAACTTTTTCGTCAAACCAGAAATAATTCTAGGTTTCATCAACTTCAAATCTACACCCAGAATACACGTTAACAGAACTGTTCTAACATTCCAACCTATGCATTTATTTAACCTTCCTAAGGAACTAAACTAATTTTTTCTGGCATCAAATTTAAAACCGAGTCCTTCAACTAAAAGTATTCATCGCCACGCAAACTTCATGTAAACTCTCTCTCTCTCTCAAGAAACGCAGAGATATCTGAACCTATTTTAGCTCGATCTATTATAACTTGTTTATTATAAAATGAATTTTGCTTTACAAATAAACGGTTATTTGTTATGTTAACCTATTTCTGTATGATTCACTTTTTACTCGCTATCTCGCAGTCTCCATCCCGAATCCAATCACTCACTCACGCACTTGCTTGGGTGACCGACTTTTAAATCCATACTGTTTCGCTATCGCAGCTTCCACGAGAATTTCAACACCGTGGTGTCATTCCTGACAGGGCATGGAAGAAGTGCCGTTTTTCCAGTCACAAAGTTAATTAGAAAAAGTAAAACGTTTTGTACATTCGACAGAAATTCAAAAGTAAAATAAAAAATATATGTTATCAACCAGTGTTTTATAATTTTTGTTAAAAATCATATCAAAACGAAACATTTAATATGTAACTTTTTTAATAAAATTTTACGACATAGTAACAAACTCTTTATTGGTTGAAGTAACAGCAGACTTAACTGGACCAGAATAAATCATGTTGTCTACATTGAAAAAATCAATCGCTTTTTCAAATTTTATGTAAAAGCTGTATTATGTCTTTACATCAATCTAGAAAACTGCATTTTTTTTTATTTGAAAGAAAATACATATATCTAAGTAATACATATAGCAAATTAATTAGATTATTTATAATACTATTATTTCATGGGCTTATTAATATATAACATTAAATAGATTTTTTAAAGCTTTGATGCCATTTTAAATTAAATATTAGTAAACTAAACAAACTTTATGATATAAAACAAAAACCAAATCGAATGAAGCGCGATATCGCGGTTTTAAAATGTAAAATATACATTTATATATTTAACGTAACACATAAACAAAAAGCTCTGGCAGATATACAGATCTTGTAATCATTCTAGTAGGTTAAAAGGGGCCCCATTTAGCACTTTGTTATTATTTTTTTATAAGAAAAAAATTCGTTTAACTCTGGATATAAAACTTTATCATTATTTCATGCGAAATAACATTAATAGCCTAATTAATTAAATGTTCTTTATATTAATTTAGATGATTCATGTTATTTGATTACTAATTTATTTGTAATTGCACAAATTAATATTGTTATTTAATATTTATAAATAACTGTATGCTTAATTATTAATTTTTACCTTAAAACAATTTTGTTCGTTTAAATTCAGCATTTTTTATTTTTCAATGTAAAATAATTTTTGTAAAAAAAATCAAATACAGTAGAGCGTCGATTTTCCGAAAGTCAATCATCCGAAACGTCAATCATCCGAAAGAATTCCAGTTGGCAAATTTAAATTTTCGCCAGTGCTGTGGCGCTTCAATCTTTGTCTATGTTATGGGCTACTCAAATATTTTACGTTTTTGATACTAAATTAACATCTGAAGTATAATTTTTTATTGTTTTTATATTTTTCAATATATTTATTTTGTTTGTACAAAATAAAAAAATAATTTTTAACGATACAATA